CTCTGGAAGTGGACTTCATTATACAAAAAAAAAAAAAAAAAAAAAGTGAATCCCTAAATCTAGCTTGCACTCAAGGGCCAGGCTAGACTCCATCTTTTGAAGGGAAGAATGTTGAAGAATTTATGAACATAATTAAAGCCACTATAGATAGGATTTTAGGACAAAGGAAGGGAGCATTCAAATTAAAACATCAGAAGGAGGATATTGGGAGCTTCTAGAGAACCAAATTGCCTATATTTTAAGCAAGAGTTGAAAATATTGAGGATGGATAATTCTGAAGGCAAGTGCCTTCATTTAATTTTCTCTCTTAACCATCCTCATTATTAATGGTCACTGTTCTCTTTTCCAGATTATATTATTCCAAATTTTTAAATATTTTTAAAAGGTTTTCATTTTTAATTTGTTTGTTTTTTCCAAAGCTGCTTATTATGAAAAATTTATAGAAATTTCAAATTTACAGAATAGTTGAAAGATTGGCAAAATGAATGTCTATGTATGCCTGCTATCCAGGGATGCAGTAATTGCGGTATTTTTACTTATTTGCTTTACCAATTTTTTCCTGATATTCCTTTGTACAGAAGTTTCCCTTGACAATGGAATAAAATATAGATTCTTTCAAAAAGGCAGGATACAGATCCAGGCCTGGTGGCTGAGGCAGAAGGATCACAGGTTCAAGGCCAGCCTGGGCAACTCAGTGAGACTGTCTTAAAATTAAAAAAATAAAAACTAGAAAGGGCTTGGGGTGTGGCTCGGCGGTAGAGCATTCTTGGTTTCCATTTGCAGTACTGGGGTATAAAAGAAGAAGGAGAGTATAGGCTTAATTACCTTAATTACTGTGTATCCAAGTAGAGAAACTGATGTAATGATAATTTACAATGCTAGCAAATGATTTCTTTTTCTCTTTTTTTGAAAGTCATAGTCCAAAAGGTAAAAACATACATATTTGATATATTTTGTCAAAACAAAATTTTGGGCTGGGGTCGTGGCTCTGTGGTAGAGCGCTCGCCCTGGGTTTGATCCTCAGGTTCAGGAAAAATAAATAAATAAATAAAATAAAGGTATTGGGTCAACTACAGCTAAAAAAATAAAATAAAATATTAAAAAAAAGACCCATAGAGATTATCATTTTCCACTCCCATCAGCATTGTAGAAAAGAGTCCCTTAGTCAGGTGTGGTGGTGCATACCTGTAATCCCAGAGAGTCAGGAGACTGAGGCAGAAGAATGGTAAGTTCAAGGCTAGCCTCAGCAACTTAAGAAGGCCCTAAGCAACTTAGACCCTGTTTCAAAAACTGGAGGTATAGGGCTGGGGATGTGGCTCAAGCGGTAGCGCACTCGCCTGGCTTGCGTGCGGCCAGGGTTCAATGCTCAGCACCACATACAAACAAAGATGTTGTGTCTGCCAAAAACTAAAAAATAAATATTAAAAAAAGAGTATTTATTAAAAAAAAAAAAAAAAACTGGAGGTATAGCCCAGTGGTAAAATGTCCCTGGTTTCAGTCATTAGCACATATACACATGTGCACACACATGGAATCCCTGTTATTCCTGTTTTTTTTTTGGGGGGTGGGGTACAGGGGATAAAATCCAGGGGCACTCCACCATTGAGCTATACCTCCTACCTCTTTTTATATTTTGAGATAGGGCTTTCTAAATTGCTGAGGTTGGTCTCCAACTTGTGATCCTCCTATCTCATCCTCTCCAGTGGCTGGGATTCCAGGCATGTGTTGCTGGCTTTTTTGTTTGTTTGTTTTGTGGCCTTGCCAAGACAGTCTGTTTTCAAACATTTGAATCATTTGCCAGGGAAATATTTTTGTCTAATGTGTTAAATGAGATATAGTATCTTAATGTAGGTATCTCTTCTACAAATGAGGCTGAACATCTTTTTTATTTAAGAAGCATTTGCCTTCCTTTTGTATTCTGCCTGTGGCTTTTGCCTGTTTTTCTAATGAGTAGTTTGTTCTTCATTCTAATCTGAGTTCTCCCCGTGTATTAGAGAGATTAGCTCCTTGTTTCTAAAATAAATTGAGAATTGTTTTTCTTTCTTTTTGTTTTTATAATTTATAATTAGTTATTTTTTTACTTTGATTATGGTATTTGTATGATATTTGGGTTTGGGTATTGAATTTATTGGTTATTTAAAAAAATTGCTTTTGGATTTTCAGCCAGAGTGCTCCCCTCACACTCAGGTTGTAAAGGGATTTTCCTATGTTAGCTGCTGGTGCTTGTAGGGCCTCTCCCCTCCCCTCTCCCTTTTATCCCCTCTTCTACATTTATATTTCTTTCCCCTGCTTTCTTCTTCCATCTCTCTGAACTTTTTGATTTCTGGAGTTTATTCTGGTACAGTGTATGATATATATCCACTGTTCTTTTTTTTTTCAGTGGCTGGACTACCGTCTAGTGTTTTCCCAGTGATTTGAGGTATACCAAATTTCCAAAAAGTGTTGCTTTTGGATTTTCTGTTCTCAAATCTTCTATTTTCAGATCTTCTATTCTCTTACAGTAGTGTTGCGGGAAACAGACTAATCCAGAAGGAGCAAGTAGTACTCAGAGAGGAGGCGAATTCCAAATTTTTAATTTTATGCAGGTGGGCCCAGAGGAAAACAAAAACTCCAAATTCTGAGCCCTGATCCACAGTTTCTCACAATATTTATAGGTTATTTCAAGTCATTTTAGAACCATCCTATCATTGGGGCTTTTCATCTTTTTTTTTTTAAATCCTAATCTACGCAGCTGAAGGCCCTGAGCAGGGTCTCTAACATAAAGCATGCTCACAAAAACAGATAAGAAGAAATCTGTTACATTTCAAGAGGGAGTAGTCAGATTCCTAGGGCAGTTATTTACAATCCAAAAGGTTAATTAGGCTTACAATCCCATGGTTAATTAGGCTTCCTGGAGAAAGGCTTAGAGAAGGAAGTGGAATTGACCCCTTCTCCAGGCATTGGTTTCTTACCATAGTGTTTTTTGTAATTTCTTTTCACAACCACGTCTGGGTTTGCCATCACAGTAGTAGTTTGAATTAACTCAGGGGATAGAAACTATAAATACTTTCAACAGGGGAAATCTTTTGTTTCTATTTTTTTGAGATGGACATCTTGCTAAATTGCCTAGCTTGGTCTCCAAATTGCAATCCTCCTGCCTGTGCCTCCCAAGTAGCTGTGACTACAGGCTCTACCAGCATACTCAGCTAACAGAGGAAGTTTAAAGAATTACCAACTACGGTAACAGATTAAGTATAAAAGATAAGGAAACTCTCTTTGGCACCCCATGACTGAGGAGTATCACCTAAGGAAGAACAAATTTGGAAGGAGTTCAAACCTCACTGGATAAGCGAGGTTTGGCCATGAACTAGCAGAGATGTTGATTGATTTAGCCTGGCTGGTCTGGCATTGCAGGGCCAGCAAAATGCACCCTCCAAAGTGCCTCTGTGCAGATGGCAGTCAGTAACCAGTGTGAATGCATGGTCAAGGTAGGTCCAGGTTCCTTTTCTCTCTCTCTCTCTCTCTCTCTCTCTCTCTCTCTCTCTCTCTCCCTAAACTGTTTAGGGCCTGTCTAAGTTGCTGACACTGGCTTTGAACTCTCAATCCTGTTGCCTCAGCCTCCCAACATGCTGGGATTATGGGTATGTGCCACCTCTCTGGATAAGGTGATATTTCTTAATGAATTCCTTTGAGATGTTGACCCTTTGGGCCACAGCCTGGATGGGTGGCTGTGGAAAAGTTATCACCAACCTGAGGCTACAAGATTGCGGAGGGACCTTGTTTATTATTGAAAGAACACAGTGTATTTGAATATCTGTTAATAATATTAGCCCCAATCATTGATCTTCTTTAGGGTTTACCTGGCTATTCCTATTTTTCCACATGAGCATTCAAATAAACTTCTCTAGCTCCAGAAAAAGCATACTCAATGGAATTTTATATATTCTTTGGTTTTTAGTTTTCAAAAGTATTTTAGAAGACCAACCAGGAGGTCCAATTGTTTCAGCACAAACTTCATTATACCTGTCCTTGTCACCAGGGCATGATGTAGCCATCCAGATGATACCTTTTGTCACATTGAAATTAACCTGCTAGATGACTCTAAAGTGGAAAGGCAGACAACTAGGAAAAGGACTTTAAGTTGTAGTCATTTCCAGCTGGATGAAGAACCTTCGAGTTTCATTAGCAGATGGGTTCTATTACCTGACTGGTAAGAGAATAATGTTAGGCTTGTCAGAGCCTCACTAGAACTCACAAAAAATTCAAGGGCACTTATGGTCTCGTTCTATAGCCATATGTTGCTACTGTTAATGTCTGTTTCTTTTTTTAAATTAAAAAAAATAACTTTCTTTATTTTATGTGGTGCTAAGGGTTGAACCCAATGCCTCACACGTGCTAGGCAAGTGCTGTACCACTGAGCCACAACCCCAGCCCGTTAATGTCTGTTTCTATTGAATAAAAACACCTTCATGTGGGCTCTGGTATGAACTGGTGTCTGCTCTAGTATAGACTGAGCAGGCCTCATCACTGGTTTATCTTATGCTTGTATGGCTTGATTTTAGTTTTGTATTCCCTGTAAAGGAATACCACCATTGAACTCAACACAATTTATAGTGAAATAAAATTAAAATATTGTAGAATAAATTATCATGGTTAAATAACTACCACAACAATGAAGCAATAAAGAAGTAAATGAGGATTGGGAGTATGGCTCAGCAGTGGAGTATTCACCTACCATGTGTGAGGCCCTGGGTTCGATCCTCAGCACCACATAAAAATAAATAAATAAAATAAAGATAGTGTGTCCAACTACATCTAAAAAATAAATATTAAAAAAAAGAAGTAAATGAATGAGAGTTTTATACTTCACATTCCTACCCCTCTGTAGTTAATATTTTCACATGTATCTTTTTGGATGTATTTGTAATCCCATACAAAGGTGTGCATTTATAAAAAATGTTTGAATAATTTTTAACAGTTACTTCTATAGCTCATAGCCATATCTTTTGTTTCTCTTTACAGCCATTATACCTGCCTATGAGTCCTTTATAATGTCCCTTTGTGCCTCTTCTCACAAGGAGTTTTCTCAGCTGCTGCCTGTTCAAGACATGGATATCAAAAACTCACCATCTAGCCTTAACTCTCCTGCCTCCTACAACTGCAGTCAATCTGTCCTACCCCTGGAGCATGGCCCCATATATATCCCTTCCTCCTATGTAGAGAGCCATCACGAATATTCGGCCATGACATTCTATAGCCCTGCTGTGATGAATTACAGTATTTCTAGCACTTCAGATAACAATGAAAGTGGGCTTGGTCAACAGACAGCAAGCCCACATGTGTTATGGCCAACTCCTGGGCACCTGTCTCCTTTAGCAATTCACTGTCAGTCCTCACTTCTGTATGCAGAGCCTCAAAAGAGTCCTTGGTGTGAAGCAAGATCACTGGAACACACCTTACCTGTCAACAGGTAAATGTAGTCTTCATTCTAAACTGCAGTTCGTGGGCATGATGCACTTTGCTTTGTGGTTTAATGAGAAGAAAGATGTGTGTTATACAAGGTCTTTATTTTGTCACCTAGATAACTTAGAGCACCGAAAACATATGATGCCCTCATTAAAAGGTTGTGCTTGTAGATAGGTATCATGGGGAGAATTCACTATCGTGACCACTGTCTTTATGTGATGAAGATTGACCTTGAATCAGGCTGGGGTTGTGGCTCAGCAGTAGAGCACTTGCCTAGCACGTGTGAGGCCTTGGAATCGATCCTCAGTACCACATAAAAATAAACAAGGTAAAGGTATTGTGTACAACTAAAAAATTTAAAAAAAATTAAAAAAAGATTGACCTTGAGTCACTTTCCTCCTAATGAAGCTATTTGGGTTTGAAAAATAAATCTTTACTTTCAGGTTAGATCTTTTTGTCAGTCACAACTTAGTGTTCAGGACAAATTGTTTCCAGGATAAAAGTAAATAACATGTTAGCCATGTGAAGGCTGAAAAGGTAATTAGTACAAGCTTTCTAAACCATGAACTAAAACAATACTTTAAGAAGTTTGGTGAGAAAATACATAAATGTAGGCTTCTGTTAAGTTTTTCTGAAATTAAATATTTGAGCTCTTTAAATGCAAGGTAACATGATGAATTATTTCAGTCTAAACTTTTATGTTTTTAATAATTAGTATGGCTATAGAGGGAAAGGATGGTATCAAAAGAAATAAAAAAAAGAAGAAATAAACTTCTAAATCAAGCAGAGTGCTACGTTAGGGCATGTTGGGTATTGAAATTCATCACTTTTGAGAAATCAGGCAGAGGATATGGCTCTGTGATTGAGCATGTGCGTGGCGCATGTGGGACCATAGGTTCAATCCTCGGCAAGCATATTTGAAAAAGGAACTTTGAGAAAATGTTATATAATAATTTTAGTTTTCTTCTTTTAATAACAACTTTGTATTGGTGGATAAAAAAGAGAATATAAAAATTGTAGGTAACTTTAAAAATTTGTGTTTTGTGTTGTGTGTGTTTGTGTGTGTGTGTGTGTGTGTGTGCATGTATAGTATCTGAATATCCAATTGTTCTCCACTATTTTTTTTTTTTGTAACAGGGATTGAACCCAGGGGCACTTAACCACTGAGCCACATCAGTGTTTTTTTTTTTTTAATTTTTTTTTTGTAGTTATAGATGGACAGAATGCCTTTATTTTGTTTATTTTAATGTGGTGCTGAGGATCAAACCCAGTGCCTCATATGTGTGAGGTAAGTGCTCTGCCACTGAGCCACAATCCCAGCACTCTGCCACTGAGCTACATCCCCAACCCCCCTGCCCTTTTTATGTTTTATTTTGAGACAGGGTCCGGCTAAGGTGCTGAGGCTAGCCTCAAACTTGCTATCCTCTTGAGCTACTGGGATTACAGGTGTACACCACCACATTCAGCAAAAATTGTAGATAACTTTTTTTTTTTTTGGTGGGGGGTACTGGAGATTGAACCCAGGGGCACCCAACCATTGGGGCACATCCCCAGCCCTTTTTTTGTATTTTATTTAGAGACAGGGTCTGACTGAGTGGCTTAGCACCTTGATTTTGCTGAGGCTGGCTTTGAACTCATGATCCTCCTGCCTCAGCCTCCCGAGTTGCTGGGATTACAGGTGTATGCCACCATGCCCAGCAAAAAATCATAGGTAACTTTTTTGAAGTAATGTTGGGTTGGGGGCATATAGCTCAGTGTTCAAGCCCTCGTCTCACACATATGACACACTGGGTTTGATCCTCAACACTATAAAACATAAATAAATACAGTTTAAAAATATAAAAGTAATGTTTTTCTTTAAAATAGGAAATATTTTTGTTTCTGAGCTTGAATTCTAATAAAAGTTTTGTTAATATTTGGACAAATTAAGTAATAAGTCAGTAATACCCCTACTATTCCCTTTTCAAAACAAACATGCTCAGACAAAATTAGGAACTTGCCAGGTGTGTTTTTAGTGCCCCCTAGTGTTCCCTTGCTGGGTTCTGTTCCTCCTTGGTGCCCCTTGCCCAGCAGCAAGCTTTGAGCCTCTGTTTCCTTCCTGTGCATGGATGGGCATAAACTCACCTAACCACTTTCACACATCAGTCATTTTCCACATAGATCTGATATCAGTAACAGAGGTTCTGCTCCATCAGATTTCCTAGAATACATTTATCATGAGTCCTGGAAGGCAAAGAGATTAAATTAGACAATGTTCATGCCTTTTTTTCTTCCCCCTAAAAACCCTTCCTTTCTCTTCATGCTCTTTTACAATGGATATTTTCTTTGCCTTCCCAGAGAGACACTGAAGAGGAAGGTCAGTGTGAACCATTGCACCAGCCCGGTTACTAGTCCAGGTTCAAAAAGGGATGCTCACTTCTGTGCGGTCTGCAGCGATTATGCGTCTGGATATCACTATGGAGTCTGGTCGTGTGAAGGATGTAAGGCCTTTTTTAAAAGAAGCATTCAAGGTACAAGAGTATTGTTAAACTGCTCTTTTAGTTTTCCACTTTTGCTTTTAAACAGTTTTACAGAGATGACCTGGTAGAAATTTCAGCAATGACCTGTTTGATATATTCTGTTCACTGAAGATTGGAGGATCATGTATGTTTGAGAGTGGGCTGGGAGGAGCCAGTATGTGGGTTGTTTCAAGTGCACAGAACTTTATCTTTGATTGTCTTGTTCTATGCCACAACCCTAAGGTCATACAGCCAACTTGAATGGGTTTTGCTCCTCCCTTTACCCCCAGGATCATGGGGAGATGTCCAGTTACAGTTTCAAAAAGATAATGCTTGGAAAAGGTGTGTACTTGTTAGGAGGTGCAGAGATTTAATACAGGGCACGCTTAACAGGCCTGACAGTGGGATGGCTCCTGAGGGAAGGAGAATAAATAGATTTTATGGAAATGGTCAGAAATCAGGAATTCAGCTGCGGTGGACTTTGAGAATTGATGAAATGCTGTCTTCTTACTTTGAATTTCCTGCATGGCTCCCTGTTTTCTGCTCTGGTATTAGATCAGTTCTCTAAATTCTCCAATTTCCTTCTGGGGTAGGGTTCATGTATTTGGTTTGCTAATTTTCAAAAATCACCTTTTCATCAATTTCAAGTTGTGCATGCCTGGCTTCAGGACCAGTCAGCCCAATTCTGTACACATCCTTGCCATCACTCCCTCCCATGCCAGCCCTGATTGTGCTGAAGTCTCTCTTTTGTTGTCTGTGTTCCTTTCTTTCTCTTTGCCTCATAATCTCTTCTTCAGATGCCCCTACTGAGCAATGTTCTTACATAGAGTTCCTTCCCCCACCTACCTACCTACCTTTCTTTTTAAATTTTGAGACAGGGTCTCTCTAAGTTGCTGAGGCTGGCCTCAAACTTGTGGTCCCCTGCCTCAGCCTCCCAAGTTGCTGAGATTCAAGAATGTACCATGAGGTCTTCTTCCCTTTTCTATCAAAGCCTCAGTGCCTTTTTTTTTTTTTTTGGTACCAGAGATTGAACTCAGGGGCACTCAATCACTGAGCCACATCCCCAGCCCTATTTTGTATTTTTATTTAGAAACAGGGTCTCACTGAGTTGCCAAATATCTACCCGTTGCTGAGGCTGGCTTTGAACTCATGATCCTCCTGAGCTGTTGGGATGACAGGCATGCACCACTGAGCCTGGCTTAGTGCCTTGTTCTTTTTTAAAAAAATATTTATTTTTCAGTTGTAGATGGACACAATATCTATATTTTATTTATTTATTTTTATGTGGTGCTGAGGATCGAACCCAGGGCCTTGCACATGCTAGGCAAGTACTCTGCCGCTGAGCCACAACCCCAGCCCCAAATTCCTTGTTCTTGACCAATTAAGAACAGCAGCCTTAAGGGGTTCATAGTGTGCAAATGGGAAATAGCAATTAACTTACCCACTGATAAGTGCAGATTAAGAGGAAGTTTTACCTGAAGCAGAGAAGCACCAATAGCACCCAGATGGTGGTGAGGAGAAGAATGTTGGTGGATAAAGTCATCTTTCTATGTAGCCTCTGAAATTTACCCTGTTTGATAACCACTCATTCGTCCTGGATCTTCCAGGTAATAGCTCTTTGGCTTCATCTGAAGCTTCCTCTGTGAAACAGAGATACTCAGAGTTGTTCTAAAGATGAAATAAAGTTGATTATGGGAAATATATCCAATGCTTAAATATTTTTTTATTTACGATTATCATAGCAGTGAATTATTAGGCCAGGTCCAGTTTTTTGCTATATGTGATGTGGACAGTTCATATTTTCTGAAATTCAGAACTGAATTCTTGATATACATTTTTTAAATTTTTGTGGTACTGGGGTTTGAACACAGGGACACTCCACCAATGAGGTATACCCCCAGGCTATCCCTCCCCGCCTTTGAATTTGAGACAGATCTAAGTTTCTGAGACTGGCCTTGAACTTGAGATTCTTCTGTCTCAGCCTCCCAAGTCAGTGGTATTAAAGGTGTGTGCCATCACACCAGCTTGATATGATTCTTGAATTCTGTATCTTTCTGAGATTCTGGAATTTTACCCCTTGAGGATTTAAAAAAAATAATATATATATATATAATTTTTTTAGTTGTAGTTGGACACAATACTTTTATTTATTGATTATTATGTGGTGCTGAGGATCCAACCCAGGGCCTCCCATGTGCTAGGTGAGCACTTTACTGCTGAGCCACAATCCCAGCCCAAGGATTTTTTTTTTCTTTTTTGGTACCAGGGATTAAACTCAGGGGTTGTCAACCACTAAGCCAAATCCCCAACGCCCCCTCTTTTTATTTGAAACAGGTTCTTGCTAAGTTGCTCAGAACCTCACTAGGTTTCTGAGACTGGCTTTAAACTTTCGATTCTCCTGCCTCAGCTTCCTGAGCCACTGGAATTATAAGGCATGCACCACCGTGCCAGCTCCTTGAAGAAATTTTGGTCCATTACAATTAAGTATGTCTTTAAAAAAAAAAAAAAAAGAGAGAGAGAGACTCCTCTTTTTTGCTGTTGGGAAAACATCTGTCTGCCTGAAATATCTTTGAACCTTGAGACTATAGCTGATAACAGTTGAAAGTAAGTTTTCCCAATGTCATTCCTTCCTCCTGCATCAGCCAGGAATGTAAAATTCTAAATATGCAAAAAGGAAAGAGTTTATGCTGTGACAACTACTTTTAAGGCCTAAATGATCCTTTCTTTGGGCCTTTTATATTTTCATAAATACTTTGCAGTAATTGAAAATGTCCACTCAAATGTCTCAAATAGGCCAGGATGGTACACTGTTAACTTGAGAAACTGGTTACATTTAACACTGTTTTGTTTTTCTAATTTTAAACTTGTCTTGCTAACTCGATTCATAAGCTCCAGGACCACATCTTAATACATTTCGGTCCCTTTCCCTGGACGAGTGCACTGCAAGCCGTTTGTGCTGGGCAGTCCATTAGTGCTGACCTTGTTGGCTTCTTTGCACACTGAGTTGCCATTAGAGATGCTGCCGTTTCTCTCCTGGGCTGTGGAGCACAGAGCAAGGGAACCCGGGGAGAAGCTCCTTATCATTCCTGGTCCAGATGAAGGCATGGCTTAATTTTTAAAAGCTTGTTCTTTATTTTACTTCTCTTTCCTATTAAAATCCACTTAATGAATATTTACTGAGCCCTGTACTAAGCTCTAGAGGGTACAGTGTTGAGCAAGACAACAGTTTGTGCTTTTTTTTTTTTTTTTTGGTACCAGGGATTGAACTCAGGGGCACTCGACCACTGAGCCATCATGTCTGCAGCTCTATTTTGTATTTTATTTAGAGACAAGGTCTCACTGAGTTGCTTAGCGCCTCACTTTTGCTGAGGCCTGCTTTAGACTCAAGATTCCCCACCTCAGCCTCCTGAGCCCCAGTTGTGCACCACCACGCCCGGCTAGTTTGTGCATTTTGTTTACTTGCTGGTACTCAACAATTCTGTGAATGATGATTTTTAAAACATCAGTCCTGCAACTGCAGGGAACGTATAACAACTTGAATGATAGCGGAAGACCTTGAATTTCAGACAGTGAATACCTTAACATGTATTTCTGACACAATACAACTGTCAAAATCAGGAAATTAACATCAGGATGCATTACTGCCATCGAATCCTCAATTTTCCCAACAGAGCCCTCTGTAGCACAAGAATCCAGTTTCAGAACCAGACTTTGCATTTAGTTGTTATGTTTTTATTCTCTATTTGTCTAGAGTAGTTCCTGAGTCCTTCTTTGATTTTCATGATTATAAGCACTTCCAAAGATTTAGGCCATTTTGCAGAATGTCCCTCCCTTTGGATTTGCCTGATGTTTCCTCATCATTAGTTTCAGGTTAACATTATTGGCAGGAATAAAAATTTCAGAGATGATTCTGTGGCGATGACGCTGTGTTCTTTCCATTAGCTCCTTTTGTGTGGCGCATGATTTTAATTTGTCCCATTCCTAGTGATGTTCATTTTGGTTACTTGATTTAAATGATGTCTGCCAGGCTTGTATTCTGTAAAAGTTCTGTTTTTTCTTTATTTTTTTCTTTCTCTTTGTAATTCATAAGTCTTTTTGTTAGGAAATCCTTTGAGACTATGCAAATATTCCCGTTCTTCATTAAACCTTTAGTTAATTAATTTATATTATTATAATTTATGATATCCTATTTTTTGCAATGGATCATTATCTTTAGTATCATTATTTATTATTTTGATATCTGTATTATTTTGGATTTGACCAGCAGGAAACCTTAAAGTGACAGAATTGTCTTTTTTGACATGTTCTTATAATTCTTTGGGCACTTATTCATAAGTGAATAAGAGAAACTGGTTACATTTAACTAGTTTCAGGCTTATCCATACTTTGCCTGTCCCAGTCCTGGGATAAGTTGTTTCTCCATGGAGCCCCATTTTCTCCTAGTGGAGAACGGTATTTGTAGTCTGGCATGGTGGCTACAGGCCTGTAATCCCAGTGACTTCGGAGGCTGAGGCAGGAGGATCTCAAGTTCTAGACTAGCTTCAGCAACTTAGCCAGACCCTGTCTCAAAATAAAAAATAAAAAGGCCTGTGAGGTAGCTCAGTAGTAAAGCTCCCCTGGGTTCAATTCCCAGTATACCCTCACCAAAAAAAGAAAAAAAATCTGAGTACTAGTTTTCTCCTTGCTCTGGGAGTGTCCCTGCTTCCAAGTCTTCTTAGGGGACAGCATTAAGTAATATATATTGTGTGTGTGTGCATACATATACATGCTGTAGAAGTGTAACAGAAGATTTGTTCTAGTTTCTTCCTGTTTGCGTATTTGCATCTTCTTTCTCTAACATGAAGAACATGTTTCTTATTATTTTTACTGTTTGCTTCTTTAATCAATACCTCTATATGAAAATTTTTTTATTGTTACTGCCCCTGTTCATCCTCCAGGCAGACACCCTCTTCACTCCAATGGGGCTTCACTACGCCACCATGGGGATGGTCCCACATAGAAACCTTTGTCACCCTGCTCAGGGTCCACCCTCCCCACTATCCACCACACCTAGTTCACTGGAGAATAACTAATAGCAACAAAACACTTCATTGTCACAAATTATGATCTATATTCATTAAAAAACATTCAAATTATGTGGAAAAATAAGTGTAGAAGAAAGTTAAATCACCCCCAGTTCTACCACCCAGAAGTAATTACTCACATAAGTGATGAGCCTTCTAGCTCTCTGTCTTTATATGCAGAAGGAAAGATATTTTAATAAAATATGTAGAGGGAAAGATCAAAATACTTTAATAAAAATGAGACTGTATTATTAGAGATGCTATCTTTTGAAATAAAAGATAGTTAATTATGTCATTTAAGTGTAACTGAAGAAAAAGGGCCTAACCAAAGATCAAAAGAACTTTTCTTTGCTAAATGAGATACTCATATTGGTAAAAAAAAAAAAAATGTGGAGTATGTTAAAAGGTTGGAGTTTTTATTTGCCACTATGCAAAAAAAAAAAAAAGAGAGAAAAAAAGTAGAATTCTGCATGCATTATATTCAGTTTAAAGAATAGGAAAGCAAAAGCCCTGTGTAACCAGTGCTCAGGTAATGAGATAGGATATTGCAGTGCCCCCAGGTAATGAGATAGGATATTGCAGTGACCCCTGGGTGGCCCTTCCAGTCATAGCTCCTTCCCTCCCTCCAGGGGTAAGACAGTCATAACTTCTGCCTTCCTTGCTAAGATTTTACCACGTGTGCACATATCCCTAAGCACTATAGTTTCATTTTCTCTGTTTTTGAACTTTACATAAATTGAATCCTCTTCCTCTGTGTCCTGTGACTTATTTCTTTTCTGACTTATTCATTTATCATTGAGATTCATCCATTGCCTACTCTGGAAATCTGATCCATTTAGGCTTAAGGTAAGAAGTTCAGGCTATTTTGTTTATTAGAAAGATACAATGAAGAAATAAAGGCACCTCTAGGGGTGGTGGTACACTCCTGTAATCCCAGAAGCTCAAGAGGCTGAAACAGGAGGATCAAAAGTTCAATTTAGCAACTTAGTGTGGCCCTAAGCAACTTAGTAAGACCCTGCCTCTGCAAATAAAAAACAAACAAAAAAAAAAGGGCTGAGGATGTAGCTTAGTAGTAAAGTACCTCTGAGTTCCATCCCCAGTAGCAAAAATAAATTTAAAAATTTTAAAAAGAGCTGGATGTGGCCGCACACCTGTAATTCCAGTGGCTCGGGAGGCTGAGGTAGGAGAATCTCAAGTTCAAAGCCAGCCTTAGCAATTTAGTGAGGCCCCAAGAAACTCAGCAAGACCCTCTTTCTAAATAAAATGTAAAAAAAGGGCTGGGTATATAGCTCAGTGGTTGAGTGCCACTGAGTTTAATCAATCCCTCTTACCAAAAGAAAAAGAAAGGTACCTGAATGCTCTATTTATTTTTTATCTGTTTTATGATAGTCTCCATTTTCTAAACCTTTCTCAGACCCATGTGTCCCTTATCATCCTTTCTACGAATGTCCAGTCCAGACAGCCTCTCTCATTTACACAGCTATAGCAGGTTCTCACTTGGTCTCCTGTCCTCCATTGGTTCTGCTGACTCTAATCCATTCTTCATACTGCATCTGAAATAACTTTTTTTTTTCGTATTTATAGATGGACAGAATGCCTTTATTTTATTTGTTTATTTTTACATGGGGCTAAGGATCAAACCCAGTGCCTCACACATGCTAGGCAAGTGCTCTACCACTGAGCTTCAGCCCCAGCCCATGAAATAACTGATTTTTGAAATATTTTATCTCTGCATGAAATAAAAGTGTAATTGTCTTAGAGGTTGTTATCTAACAAACAACTTAAATCTTAATGTCCTATTACACTGAGCATTAGTTTTTGTATGGGTGGATCTATGGGTTGATTAAGATGGTTCTATTCCATAAGGCTGACCCTGGCCTTTGGGTTGAGTTCAGGTCTTTTCCACACATCCCCACATTCTCCTTGGACCAGTGGCTACCTTTTAGGCACTCAAGAGGTCAAGCCAACTGTTAGAACAGCACATGTATTAACATACCATTGCTAAAGTAAGTCCCAGAGTCAAACCCAACATCAGTGGTTCAGAAATGTACTCTGTGCACTCTAGCCTATCACAGGGTCACAAGGTGGAAGGAGGGAGGGAGTGAAACAATGAGAACAATAACCCACCACAGCTAAAGAAGTACTTTCTGTTCTTATGTAGATTGCTAATTTCTGTTTTAAAGTTTTGTTATTGGTTCATTATAGTTGTACATATTAGTGAGATTCATTGTCACATATTCATACATTCATACAACATAATCTGGTCAGTTTCATCTCCCAGAATAATTACTAATTTCTTTATTTGTTCCTTTTGATTTACTTTTCTTATTTGGTTATGAATTCACATAAAAATATTATATTAAATCCCAAAGAGGGATATATGTAAAAGCATACAAGCAGTTGAATTTGGTAAATTGATACACAACTCTTGAGGAATTCTTTGATTTGGAGCAAATCAATTTCATGTGACTTTCCCTTTCCGTGTCCAAAGGAGAATATTTCTAAATGTATTTCTTTCTTTATTTTGGTACTAGGGATTGAACCCAGGGCACTTAACCACTGAGCGACATCCCCAGCCCTTTTTTATATTTTATTTAGAGATAGGTCTCACTGATTTATTTAAGGCCTTGCTAAGTTGCTGAGGCTGGCTTTGAACTTGTGTTCTTCTTGCCTCAGCCTCCCAACCTCCTGGGATTACAAGCTTGCACCACCGTGCCCAGCCTAAGCATATCTATTTTTTTAAATTCTAGTAATATGAGGGAATAACCTATTAGCCAAAAAGCAAGGTCCTGAGCTATTCTTAGTTCTCCTTTACTTGTTGTCAGGGTGTCACTTTGGCATTTGTATCTGTATCTGTCCCCTATCTCTCATGTGGATAATATGCTTTTCCCCACATTTTTTTTCTTGGTGCATTAGAGTTGCACATAATGATGGGATTTGTTGTTACACACTCGTCTGTGTACACAATATAGTAATATAATTTGGCCAGTATCACTCCAGCACTTATCCCCACCCTTCCTCTTTTCTACCCCTCCATCTCTTTCCTCTACTGATCTGCCTTTGATTTCCATGAGGTCCGCCCCCACCTTTCTTTTCCTTTTTCCTCTCTAGCTTCCACATATGAGAGAAAACATAGTCCCTTGACTTTCACTTAACATGATGGTCTAGTTTCATCTATTTTCCTGCAAATGACATAATTTCATTTTTATTTATGGCTTAACAAAACTTAATTGTATATATATATATACCACATTTTCTTTATCCATTCATCTGTTGATGGACACCTGGACTGGTTCCATCATAGCTATTGTGTAATGCTGCTATAAACATGGTATGTGTGTATCATTATAGGGTGATGGCTTTAATTCTTTCAGATAAATACTGAGGCATGGTATAGCTGAATCATGGGGTGGTCCCGTGTCTGGTCTTTTGAGGAACCCCCATACTGATCTCCTTAGTGGTTGAACTAATTTACAATTTCATCAACAGTCAACTGGGTAATATTATCAGTGTTGTTGCCCTGGAAGAAATTTAACCAAAATATTTTAACAAGAACCTTCATTTTTTTTTTCCTCTACTGTAGGACATAATGATTATATTTGCCCAGCTACAAATCAGTGTACCATAGATAAGAACCGGCGTAAAAGCTGCCAGGCCTGCCGGCTTCGGAAGTGCTATGAAGTAGGAATGGTGAAATGCGGTGAGTGTTCACTTGCCTTTTGTTGTATGGAGCCATGCCGAAAACTGTGTCTTTCGAGGAACTAGAGGGCACATAACCTGGATAAGAGATTTAGGACATAGTGATTATCTTCAAGTGTTTGTCACACCGTATTGACCAGTTCCCTATAGCTGCAGATGTCAGAGCTGGGATGAGTGTGATCAAACTGCCAGAGGCAGATTTTTGGCCCCAAATGCGCAAGAACTTGCAAAGTTCATGTGGGTCTAGCAACAGAATAGGCCACTGTATGGGCTAGGGAACTTCTAGCCACTGAAATGTTTAACAGGCTGGATGGCCACCTTCCTGAGACCCTGAAAAGTCCCATTCCAAGAACGACATCCTGGTTTAAATGTCCACAGTGGAAACTTATTACAAGAAAGTAGAATATCTTGTGGGTTATTTGGGTAGCTATGGAGAAGTGTCTTGCTTCCTTCTACTAGCTTTCTAGAAGTGGAAAAAATACATACAGGAGTCAGAAACAGATTTTGTTCTATGACAGTATGTATGTGTGTTTATATATGTATGCATAACATGTAGTACACTATATAGTATATAGTGTATATAATGTATAGTATATATACATGATATGTGTGTATACATGCTATACATACACATGTTAAAAAAAGAAGAGCACTTTAGTATAACAAGTCACAAAGATGCCTACTCCTGCTCTCTCCACCTGGATAGCTTTTAATTTACTTGTCTGTATACACTTTTTTTGTGTGTGTGTGATGGTGGTGAGGATTGAATCTAGGGCTTTGAGCTTGCTAGGCAAGCATTTTTCCACTGAACTACATCCCTAGCCTGTTTATTTTTATCTTTATTTTTATTTTGAAACACTAAGCTCACTAAGTTGCCTAGGCTGGCTTTGAACTTGCAGCCTCCTTCCTCAGTCCCCTCAGTAGCTGGGATTATAGGCGTGCACCATCATACCCAGTCATGCTTATTGTTTATATATATTTCATATCAGCTCTGCCTGTGCTTTTCTTATTCTTTTGCTAGCCTATATTTTGCCTGGAATTTGTTGTAACTTCTTTCTTGGTAACTAATTATTTGAAAAAATTAAAATGAGCATCTTTCTCTTTTTCTCCCTGATCATCTTTTAGTAGCTCTGCTTTTTAAACATTCTCTGGTTCTTTTTCTCTGTATGTACAATAGATTAGAACCCTCACCTAATTCACAAGTACAGCAGAACTATCTTAATTTGATTACATTTCTTGGGCTTTTGTTTCTGTGAAAGTTTACTTGAAAGCTTTGAACAAAACTGTAAAGGACTAATAGCTAAGAAGGGGGAGAAATCACAAACCTAGGAATGTCTAAGTTGTTGCTCTAGTCCCCCCCCGCCCTTGGGTACCAGGGATTGAACTCAGGGGCACTCAACCACTGAGCCACGTCCTCAGCCCCATTTTTTATTTTATTTAGAGACAGGTTATCACTGAGTTGCTTAGCACCTTGCAGTTACTTTGAACTTGTGATCCTCCTGCCTTAGCCTCCCAGGCCTCTGGGATGATAGGCGTGTGCCACTGCGCCCAGCCATGTTGCTCCGTTTTAAAAATGCTCCACTGGGTGCTGGGGTTGTGGCTCAGTGGTAGAGCACTTGCCTAGCATGTGTGAGGCACTGGGTTCGATTCTCAGCACTGCATGTAAATAAATAAAATAAAGGTCCATTGACAATTAAAAAATATTTTTTAAAAATACTGCAACTGGAAATCCAGAGATGACATATGGGTATAGTCCATGCAGAAAGGTGATTTTTACAGGTGTCAGAGATGTTTAAAGAGAAAGCCTTTAGCCTTTTGACAAAAAAATTACAAAGAAAAGGTCTTTATTTTTAAGTTAAACAATATTTTAAGGTGAGTGTAGTGTGTGCGTTTTTAAAAAACAATGATTTCCAGTTTAATCTTAGGTCAAGGGCACATTGTGTACTAGGATCTGTTGGACAGCTCTAGTCCTCCGGGTTCAAGGCAGCACCCACAGTAGGAAGAGCATGAGGGTTGGACTCCTATGGACTGAGTGTCATTTCGTTTCTTTCTTTCTTTTTTTAAAGAGAGAGAGAGAGAGAGAGAGAGAGAGAGAGAGAGAGAGAGAGAGAGAGAGAGAGAGAATTTTAATATTTATTTTTTAGTTTTTGGTGGACACAACATCTTTGTTTGTATGTGGTGCTGAGGATCGAACCCCGGCCGCACGCATGCCAGGCGAGCGCGCTACTGCTTGAACCACATCCCCAGCCCCTCATTTTGTTTCTTTACTTTTGGCCTCTCTCCAGATGCCCTTCTTGTCTGTCCTTCCCCCAAACCCTCTACTCACACTTTACCTTCTATTCAGTCTTGGAGGATTGGTAGTCTCCCTGCATTCTGGATCCTCCTGCACCATCTACATTCCCTTTTTAGTCATAAATCATGTCTCTGTGACTAATTTTTTCTTCTTTACCTCTGATCTTTTCTTTCCTACTGATGTGTTGATATAGTTATTTAACATAGGAGGACAGCTGCCTAGACTGACATCAGAGATAAGGCCTCTTTACAAGGATATGTTTCCATATAACTATCCAGGAAAACAATCTCAATAGCCACATATTTAGTCTGTATCCCTGTGTTGGGACAACAGCTCAGCGTCTTTCGAGTGTCATCTCTTTACTCACCTGATGTATATACTTTCAAAAAATGGATTTGGTAGGTAGTTGGTATAAAATAAGAGTTAAACAATAAGATAATAGTTACAAGCACAGCTCTGGATTCATATGATTGGTTAGGTTTAGATCCTGCTCCTGCTAGTTTCTAGCTTTCCTAACTTGGTCATTTTTTTTGAGCTGCCTTGTGTCTGGCTCCTCCTCTCTGTATTGAAGATATTAATAGCACCTGTCCTTCTAGGGTGACTGTCAGCACAAGATAGATCATCTGTGTACAATACACAGTACCTGGTATGTAGAAGCTTCTGGTTGATGTTAGCTGCCATTATATCATTTATTATAGTCACCATCCATCCTCTTTGGGCTGGGACTATTTACTACACCCTATTTGTTAGTTTGTCATTAAGCTCACTCAGGCAGCTGCCTAGGTTGTAGTGTCAAAGTCATAGCATTAGAAATGTCCTCATAGAAAATATGAATTCCTTCACAAGGGCTTTGTTTTATGGAACCTGAAATTTCCAGAACTCACTACAGGGCCTGGAACATAAGACTTGAAAGTCTTTCACACGGGGAAAGCACATCTCTTTTGTACACTCCTTATCCTCACACAGGGTACAAAAGAGAAATGTGTGATTAGAGAAGTGCTTTGTAAGCCACACATTTTATTCCATGTTATTCTGGAGTATAATTGAACTTAAATATTTATAACACTCTAATTGCTAATAAAATGAAATATGTCTTAAGCCAGGCATGGTGGCTCATAGCTGTGATTCCAGTGACTTGGGGGCTAAGACAGGAGGATCACAAGTTCAAAGCCAGCCTCAGCAATTTAGCAAGACCCTAAATAACTCAGTGAGACCCTGCTCAAAATAAAATTTTAGAAAGGTCTGGGGATGTGGCCCATGGTTAAGCGCCCCTGGATTCACTGCCCAGTACCAAAAAAAAAAAAATAAATGTATTTTAAACTTTTAATTCTTTTGGTAACAAATTTGATTCAACTGTTCCTGAGTGGATAGAGCCCTTCCTTTTACTATAATTAGCTAAGACTAAATTTCCTTGGGAGACAATAGTTTATATTTTCTCATGCCTTCTAGTTAATTAATTAATTTATTTTTGGTACCAGGGATTGAACCCAGGGGGCGGTTGACTACTGAGCCACACCCCCAGCCCATTTTATTTTTTTATTTTGACACAGGGTCTCACTAAGTTGCTGAGGCTAGCTTTGAACTTGTGATCCTCCTGCTTCAGCCTCCTGAGTTGCTGGGATTCCAGGCATGCACCACTGTACCTGGCTCTAGCTAATTTATTTCATTGCTAATTTTATCTTTATTTTAACATCATCAAAAATGATCTGACATCAATTTTAATTAAGATTTTCTTTATGACCTGACATGTGAAAATTTTTATAAATATTTATGGTCTGTGTAGATTAAGCTTGTCAGTTGTGCAGTTGAAATGTTCAGCATTCTCACTTTTCTCTCAACTGTTTGCTCCATCAGATGCTGAGGGAGATTACATTACTATATCCTATAATAATAGTATGTTTGTCAATTTCTTTCTTTTATAATCACTTTTTTAAAATATATTTTTTTAGTTGTAGTTGTAGATGGATACAATACCTTTATTTTATTTATTTATTTATTTTTTATGTGGTGCTGAGGATCAAACCCAGCACCTCACATGTGCTAAGTGAGTGCTCTACTGCTGAACCACAACCCCAGTCCATCCATTGTATTTTTTAAATATTTTTTTTATTTGTAGGTGGACATATACCTTTATTTTATTCATTTATTTATTTTTTATATGGTGCTGGGGATTGAACCCAGTGCCTCATGCAGGCTAGCAAAGCGCTCTACCACTGATCCACAACCCTGGCCCCTCTTCCATTGTATTCTGATCCAAAAACCCACATTAGTAAAACATTTTGGAACTAACACAGGAATAGAAAAGTAGATCTCTAAAACTGAATAGAGAATCTGAGAAAAGATAATTTTATATGTAATTATTTATTAATGAAAAGACGTTTCACATCAGTGGTGAAGTCTTATTCAATAATTACTATTGGGAAAATTGTATATCCATTTGAAAAATATAACATGAAAATAAATATCATATCATATAATATCATGATATAATATAAGTATGCATAAAATTCCAAATAAATTTGAATCACACAAGTGTTCAAGAAGATAAAGGAAAATATATAAAATATTGATATAAAGTAAAAAGATCTGATTCTGCATTAAAGCTTCTTATGACAAAGGACACCATGAGCAAAATTAAAAAACATATATCAAGTAAGATAGCCAGATATGGTGATGCATGCCTGTAATTCTAGCAACTGTGGAAGCTGAGGCAGGAGGATTGCAAGTTTGAGGCCAACTTTGGCAACTTAGCAACACACTGCCTCAAAATAAAAATTAAAAAGGGGGGGCTGGGATTCTTGCTCAGCGGTAGAGCACTTGCCTAGCATGTGCAAGGCCCTGGATTCGAGCCTCAGCACCACATAAAAATAAATAAACAAAATAAAGATGTTGTGTCAAACTACAACTAAAAAATAAATATTAAAATAAAAATTAAAAAGGGGTAGAGGTGTAGCTCAGTGGTAGAGCACTCGTAGGTTCAATTCCCAGTACACAAAGAAAAACAGCAATTAAAAAAAGCAAATAAGGGCTGGGGTGGTGGCTCAGTGGTAGAGTGCTCGCCTAGCATGCATGAGGCACTGGGTTCTATCCTCGGCACCACATAAAAGCAAACTAATGTATCCACCTAAAAAAAACAACAAAACAAACAAACAAACAAAAAAACTAAAGATACATAAATAAATACATTTTTTTAAAAAAGCAAATAAGATGAATGTTGCATCTAACAAAGTTATCTATCAATACTATACAAAGAGCCTTTGTAGGTTTTAGGGAAGAAAGGGGCAAAATACACAAATAGGCAATTAATAAGTAAAGAAATACAAAGGACAAACATATTAATTAACCTTACTAGTAATTTTAAAGATACAAAGTAAGGCAAGACTGTTTAGCCCAGCCTTATAATAGCAAATATTAAAAATGTTAGTCCTTATAAAAGCAAATATTAAAAATGGTTTTTAGGGGCTGGGTTTGTGGCTCAGTGTTAGAGTACTTGCCTAGCATGTGCAAGGCCCTGAGTTCGATCCTCAGTACCACATATAAATAAATAAAATAAAGGTATTGTTTCAACTACAACTAAAAAATATTTATTAAAAAAATGATTTTTAATGCTCAATGGTATTATGTGAGAATAGGTGGTCCTTAAACTACTAGATTATAATTTGTGAAACACTTTTGGGGAGTAATCTGTGAATGTGTATCAAAATTTTAAATGTATGTATGCCTTGGTTCAACAATTTAATTTCTTTGAATTTATTATAAGGAAGTAATTTGATACATATACAAAATGTATGTTTATTATAATATTTAAACTAATAGAAAAATTGTATCAAATTAGATTAACTTTAGCATGGAACTCTAAATAAATGATGCTATACTAATAGAACAGAACGCTATGTGCATTTTTAATTGTCATATGACATTTTTATTTATTTATTCATTTATTTTTTGTGGTGCTGGGAATGGAACCCAGGGCCTTGTGCATGCGAGGAAAGCATTCTACCAACTGAGCTATATCCACAGCCCTTCATATGACATTTTTAATGAAAAGAGAAAAAGAAGGTTATGAAATAGTATCTATGCCATGATTCTAATTTTGTTTATAAAATATGAAAATGTATAAAAGCATAAAAGGCTGAAAGTATTTATGTCCAAAGTCATTCTCCTCTCTATTTTCCAGTTTTTTTTTTCAATTAATTTATTTGAAGTATACTTGTTTGTGTAAGTTTGTGACAAGAACACGTGTTATACATATGTGTATATGTGCATACAGATATGCATACATACATGTGTACGTATATATCCATATATTTAAAATATATCATAAAGTGTATTATCAATGTTGAAGTCCTAACTTTTCCCTATTTTCTACCTGAGGAAAATTCTTAATTTTGTAATTTGGAAACTGAGATATGTCCTCATGCTTTAAAAGAGAAATGGATTTAGTATCCACAGATGACCTTCAAATGGAGATTTAATACGCCTAAAATGTCAAGTTTTTGATTTTGTTAATACAGTCACAACTATAGTAATCTTCAGTCCAGGCCCCAAGGCTCCAGAAAAGAAGTTGACCTTCTGTTCTCAGACGCTTTCTGAGAATAGACTCAGGTCCTTCAGTGATATAATGGCTGCGTTTTTTCCCTGGCCATCAGGATCTAGCCTCTGGATCAGAGCAAACACTGTATGGCCATCTGATCTCCCCTTCAGGCTCCCGGAGAGAAAGATGCGGGTATCACGTGGTGAAACGACAGAGAAGTTCCAGCGAGCAGCTGCACTGCCTGAGCAAAGCCAAGAAAACCGGTGGGCACCTGCCACGAGCCAAGGAGCTGCTGCTGAGTGCCCTGAGCCCCGAGCAGCTGGTGCTCACCCTCCTCGAGGCGGAGCCACCCAACGTGCTGGTGAGCCGCCCCAGCACACCCTTCACAGAGGTCTCCATGATGATGTCCCTCACCAAGCTGGCCGACAAGGAACTGGTGCACATGATTGGCTGGGCCAAGAAAATTCCTGGTAGGGCTCTCTGGGTCTTCGCATTTCATTTATTTCTAGAAAGGACTGCTCCTAATATTTTTGGGTTGAGAGTAAAAAGTAGATGTCCAGGACTTTGTCTAGATAGTTAACAATTTGACATCTTAATTTATAACTTAAAATGTGTTCTTTTCTCCTATGTTGAAAACATAGCTTCAACATTTCCTGGAAGGCAGTGTGGTTTAGAATTCTTGGACTTCTCAGTTCCTCTCTACCTGACATGTTGGCACAGAAGGAGTTGTACCTGGCCTGTTTCTGTTCTTGACTCCCTTCTTTTCCCTACTCCCTGGGTCCCTCCTTGCACGCACCCCATCCTCTCTGTACACATCTCCAAAAGACACTGCCTATTGGCTGCCTCTCATTCCTACGTGTGGTCTGGGAGAACAGTCTCAGAAAGAGACATACCTGGGCTCTAAAATTGAACTTGGGACCATTTGGGCAAGAAAGTCCAGGGTTTGGAACCTGGAACATAGTTAAAAGGTAGATCTATGACCTCCACATTGACTGGGTCTGTTGGCTGTGGACTTCTCACCTTGAGCAGGTTGGGGTGAGGTAGGGTACAGTATGATCAGCCTGAAAATGAAAGGTTTGTCAGATCCTAAATAGGAAGTTTTAAAATATTTTTCCAATCAAGGAAGTATCAGTGTTATATACATAAGTTAATATACAAAGATTAATAGAGTAAACCAGCAGTTGAGGTAACACGAATCAATAGACCAATAAACCTGGCATGCTGTCAAGTCAAAAGCAGGCTTAACTGTTTTTGAGTTGTCATTTAGAACCTACATTTTTCCATCCTATAAAGTAAACTTTCCATCCTATAAAGTAAACCAGACCTATTTATAGTATATATAGACAGTCCTTGATTTAAGATGGGACTTATAATTTTTTAACTTTATGATGGTGTGAAAGTGTACCCATACAACCATTCTGGTTTTCTCTTGTGGCTCAGTATTCAATCATGAGCTATTCAGCATTTTATTATAAAATGGGATTTGTGTTAGATGATTTGTATCCAACTGTAGGCTAATATAAGTGTTCTGAGCATGTTTGAGGTAGGCTAGACTGAGTTACGATGTTTGGTAAGTTGAATTTAATTCGTGCTTTTTTTTTTTTTTTTTTTTTTAAGATAGGGTCTTGCTCTTTCCCAACATAGCCTCAAGCGACACTCCTGCCTTAGCCTCCCCAGTATCTGACACTACAAATGTGTACCGTAGTACCTAGCTCTACATGCATTTCTCTTTTTAATTTTTTTTTGAGGGGAGGGGTACTGGGGATTGAACACAGGGGCACTCAACCACTGAACCACATCCCCAGCTCTATTTTGTATTTTTTTAAATATATTTTTTAATTGTAGATGGGCACAATACATTTATTTTACTTATTTATTTTTATGTGGTGCTGAGGATCAAACCCAGTGCCTCACACATGCTAGGTGGGCACTCTACCACTGAGCCACAACCCCAGCCTCTTATTTTGTATTTTATTTAAAGACAGGATCTCACTGAGTTGCGTAGTGCCAAACTTTTGCTGAGGCTGGCTTTGAACTCACAATCCTCCTTTCTCAGCCTCCCTACCTGCTGGGATTACAGGTGAGTGCCACCAAGCCAGGTCTTGCAATTTTTGACTTAAAATATTTTCAGCTTACTGTGGTTTGTCTGGATGTAACCCCATTGTAAGCTGAGGAGCATCTGTACCTGAAGTACTATATTGTGCTAAAACTACTAATTCGTATCTGAACTAGTGTTTCTATGGAGGAGTGAATTTAGGATTCTAACCTTGTATGGCTGCAACACATCATCCTCCGAAAAGACATCTCCATCCACTTCTTTACAGTGGCCTAAGAAATGAGGTCTGTCTCCAGGCTCTAAACCCCTGGCTTCAGAGGCAGCAACTGCATTAGGCAAACTGTAAATATTAGGTGGGGGTGAGAAGCTAGGTGAAGAAATGTTGGGGATAGAGAGCTGTGGGAACTAAGACCCTGTCTCTCATGGTCCTTTGTGGGCCTGGGCTCATTCCTTCTGAGTTTTCTGAGGATTTTCTGGTGTCTGGCTTTGTTTTGTTTTGTCTAGCATCTTCACCTTTGCCAGAATGATTTCATTTTCTCTGCTGTTTCCCACAGGAGAAAACACTGATGCACTTTCCTTCAGTTTTTGCTTTGAATGCATAAACACTATTTCGCAGGATCCCACATGGAGAGTAGTGGTAAAATTATTCCTAAAAACTCTGCAGCTTCTTTGTACTCTAACAAAAGTGAACTTTTAAGCCATATTAGTCCTTCTTTAAGTGTGGTGTTTTGAAAGTTTTGCAGAAAATTTAGGTATAGGCTTAAGGTGTGATTTTTCTCTCCCTGCAGTTGACATAGTCATTAGCCAAACCAAAATGGTATTAAAATATCATCTAGCCTCAATCTTGTCAGATATCTATAAAAATAGACATCTTCATCTCTCTTGGGTAGGTGTAGTGTTTATAACTGTGTGGAATTGGAATGTATGTACATAAGAGGGACCTGAACTGGGCTATGTGTGTGTCTATGGAAGGGATTTGTCCATCTTTACATTCATTACTCCATTGAACTCTCCTTTGTGCAGATTCACAATGTAATCGCTCAAAGATTTGAATCATGTGTGTGGTCTTGGTGCTGCAGTTTCCTCATTGGTAAAATGAGTAGGTTAAGTGATCGTACCTATAGGAAGGTTTCAGAGGAAGGCAAGAGTGCCCCCATGTTTCCTATAGAAAATAGTCTTAAAGGAGATTAAATAACTAGCTAGGAGGGGACTGAGCTAATGTTCAAACTGAAGTTCATTCTATGCAAAGACTTTGCCTTTGGTTACCCTGCCTGCTCTTTTTATCATAGCACATAAAGGAAGCTCCAGTGTTCTCTACTTTGCTTTAAAAGCACTCAGTTCCTTACGGATTTCTGTTTCTTTCCAGTTCTGTGACCAATGCATGCTATTAGGCCGTCAGGACCTGCTTCAGTTGTAGTATTTGCTCTTTAGGATGCATTCACCTAGAATGAGTGTTCCTACTCAGAAGAATGAACCTAACTCTAGAGAGGAAATTTGAGCAATCAGAGGAACCATTTCAGTTGAAGCCTTGACTTTCAGCAGAGGCTGGCACTGCTCCCTGCATGGCCCTCACCCCCAACCTCCACCTACCCTTTCTGCCCACCCTTTTAGTCCCAGTCATGGCTTGGGTCAGACAGGTAGTCCCTCTGACTGGCAGTTGAGCTCTATCTTTCTCAATAGTCACAGGAGTTATTAAGACAGTTTTGCTAACAAGGATCAGTTCTGGCTTTCTGTTCTCCTTAAGCATCTGCCCAGGGAGCCAAGTAGCCTTGGTAATAGTTCTTTATAAATATTAAGTGAAGCCCGCTGTGGTGGTGCACACCTGTAATCCCAGTGACTCAGGAGGCTGAGGCTGGAGGATCACCAAGTTCAAGGCCAGCCTGAGCAACTTAGCAAGACCCTGCATCAAAATGAAAAATAAAAAGGGCTGGTAGAGCACTGGGTTTAATCCCCAGTACTGACGGAAATATAAATAAATACATACATAAATAAATACTAAATGAAATTTATTAATCTCTAGAAAAGATTCAAGACTGGAAACTGCAAGTTTCAAAACTTAAATTCAAAACTTTCTTCCTTTAAACAACGTTTAATCACATCTTATATTCATTATTTCCCTATGTTGTTTATGTTCCTAAGCCTTTAAAAACTTGCTGTTCTGACTTCACAGAACAGGTTGTGGAAGAGCAGGGCGGGTGTGGTGTGTCTCACGATATCTTCTTTTCCCTAGGCTTCGTGGAGCTCAGCCTGTTGGACCAAGTGCGGCTCTTGGAGAGCTGCTGGATGGAGGTGTTGATGGTGGGACTGATGTGGCGCTCCATTGACCACCCCGGCAAGCTCATCTTCGCCCCAGACCTCGTTCTGGACAGGTGAGGAACACGTATTTTGCTTCTTCTCAGACTCGTTTTGAGTGAGGCCACTTAGTGAGTGGAAACAAAATCCTAGGTGCAGTAATTAAAATCTCACACCTGAAAGGGTAATTAGAGGATGATAATGTCATCAGCTCCTTCACTGGGTCAAGAACCCAAGAAAAAGAAAGCTGGGATTCACTGTCCCTTGCCTCCCTGCTAATCTGTGGCGCAGCTGCATTCAAAGGCTGGGGTCACAACAAGGGACTGTACCCTGCAGGATATATGGCCACTAAGTGTGCAGGTCAATGTAGATCTTTCTGCATTAAAAATTCTATTTTAGTGGTGTGCAGTGGTGCATGTCTATAATCCCAGTGGCTCAGGAGGCTGAGGCAGGAGGATCATGAGTTCAAAGCCAGCCTCAGCAACTTAGTGAGACCCTATCTCAAAATAAAACATAAAAGGGCTGTGGATATGGCTCAGTGGTTAAGTACCCCTGGGTTCAATCCCTGGTACCAAAAAAAAAAATTTTTTTTCAGGTTATAGTCTTAAATTGTTCTGCTGTCTTGTCCACCTCTAGTGACCAATTACATCTCCAACTATCTATACAGGTGATAAATTTCTTATGAATTTATTTTCATATGCTTTAACTCACTCTAAAGCATGTGCTATAACAGTGTTTTTGGAAATAACGGTGAAAGGAATAGTTATTAAAACCAGATGAAGGTTTATAGAAGTTGGGATATGATAGTGCTAATGTCATAACTTGGTTACTTAGCTTTTTAAAAATGATGGCACAGAAAAGGAACCAATTTTTAATTGATTTAATAGAGCTGTTTATGGAGGGAAAGCTGGAATATACAAACATATTAAAGATTTTTGCAGAAAGAAATAGAAAACTTTAAAAAATATATATATAAAACTTTAAAATAAATAAATATATATATATATTTATATATGTAAACTTTAAAAAATATATATATATATAAAGGTCAGTGGACTTTTATTTATTTATTTATTTATATGCACTGCTCAGTCTCGAACCCAGTGCCTCACACATGCTAGGCAAGTGCTCTACCACTGAGCCACAACCTCAGCCCTAATAGAAAACTTTTGGTGTACATTTGAACAGTTTGAAAATCTCCATGGGAATTGATTTCCACTTCCCCTTATGTTGAAAAAGTGCACGTTGACTCTGCACAGAGTAGGAGGATGCCTAGTGCTAAGAACAGAAAGTACCTGCCCCAACTCTTGCATCATAATCCTGTTACCACTTTAGGTCATCAGAAGACCCTCATTCGCACGTTTGGCAGATGAAGAGCGGTGCCCCAAGGTATCAGCATCTATTCATGGATGACATTGACAAAGAGCACTGTTCTGAGTAATGAAGTTGTTTTGGTGGAGAACAAAGCCTGTGGGAAGAGCTGGCGCATGGGATGTGGTTTGAGCAGGAGCAAGCCCTGGTGGTGAACCATAGAGGGAAGCTCTGGAAGCCCAGAGCAGTGTGGAGCATGAGAGCCTTCAGTAACAATCAAAATAGCTCACTTAATGTCTTGTATGTGCCAGGCACCATCGTAAGCACTTGATATATGTTGACTTGTTTAATCTTCACAACAGCCCTTTGTGGGTAAGCAACATCAGAATCCCTATCGGAAATGGAAGGTTTAGTGACGTTGCTACAGTTATACAAAAGTAAGTGGTAGAGCTGGATTTGGGGACCTGGCTGCGGAATCCACACTCTTAGTGACATTGGTACATTGCCTCTCGGCAAGAGAGAACTGGAAGGGGAAGGAGGAGGCCAAAAGGCTGCCTTGCTTTCTACTTTAGTCTTTTGGCTTAAAATAGCACTATTTTATTTCTGTCTACTTCAGAAACTCACTCTTCCTGCTGTCATCTCAGGGTACAGTGCTACAAGGCAGGCCAAAAAGCCAAGCACCCAGCCAAGGCATGCATTCATTATGTTCCACTCGATGACTTAAATAAAGCCACATATACTCCCCGACAAACCTACTTGTACATATAATATACACATACAGTTCTCCTAGAAGTTAGTGCTAGTGAGATGTTCTGTCCCTTGATAATCCAGTAGATTTGCAGATATTGAAATTATTTTACTTTTTGTCTTATAGTGTTAATTTTCAGTGACTATTTCATTCCTGGATTTTAGTGCAATTAACTTGCTTCTTTATATGGGTTCTTTAATTCCTGTAAGTAAATGTGAAAATTTCTATAAATGGAAACCAATCCTGGATAAATATTGTGCTTACATTGTACTTAGATAATAGAAGAAGAAAGTTATTTTTAATATATTCACATAACTCTTTATAAATATTTGAAAGTCTTATGTTTTATAACATATAAATTTAGTATATCTCATTAAGTATAAAAAGGAGTTCTAGGGAATTGTAAATGCTTTCACATTGAGGAGGCATTGTTTGGTGCCTCCTCATGTTTACTTTTTGTTGTTATCCCTAATATTATTTAAAAAAAATTTTTTTGTAGTTTAGATGGACAGAATACCTTTATTTTATTTGTTTATTTTTATGTGTTGCTGAGGATGGAACCCAGTGCTTCACGCATGCTAGACAAGTGTTCAGTCACTGAGCTACAGCCCCAGCACCCTAGTATTATTTTTGACACATTAGCTTTTTGGAATCTAGAATTTCAAGTTTAAGATAGTTCAGTTACTCAGCTCATCTCTTATATAGATAATATAGTTTCTGGGGGAGTTGCCTAATCAAAATCAGGGATCATACTCTATAAAGGAGTTCCATTATGAATCTTTTTTGCTAAGTAAATAAATAATCCTCAGACTATTTGAAAATTAGCTGTCTGTTGCTAAATTTCCCTGCCAGAATTCCTTCAAGTAGTGATATGACCTTTATTCATGTTGAGGCTTTTGCAGCAAGAAAACTTGAACCTACTGAGGATGAGAGGAAAATCTGGTTATCTCAGCCGATTTCCAAAAAGGTAGTTCTTTTAGTAACCACTAAAATCATAAATTCATTTCATGATCTACTACAGAACCTGAGCTGCTGCTTGCTCAAAAAATCATACATGACATTTTTATATCCTTAGCATCAATAAGAAACTGTTAATGTTAAATGCTATTTAAAAATCAGAGGAAGCTGGGTGCCGAGGTATGCACTTGTAATCCCAGGAAGTCACAAGTTGGAGGCCAGCCTTAGTAACTTATGGAGATCCTCAGCATCTTAGTGAGACACTGTCTCAAAATAAACAATAACTACAAAAGGCTGAGGATGTAACTCAGTGTTAAAGTGTCTCTGGGTTCTATCTCTAGTACCAAAAAATAAAAACAAAAAACCAAATGCCATGAGAGGAAGTTTGAGTGTGTATTTGCATTAATTGTTTCTATATTGAATTTTTTTCAAGGTAGCTGTAATATTTTCACTTCAAAATTTTAATTTACCCTCAGTATCCAAATGTTGAACCCTTGTTAAGGATAAGCACATGGAAAGGACTTACCTGGGTCTGCCCACCCTATATCCAATGGCCATACACAGGAGGTAAATTCTGGTCTGTAACCATGTGTGCAGCCAGCAGATACATATGTTAGTACTAAAGAATAGCCCCAAAGTAGGGCCCACTCATTGAACATTTGTCATTATATCAAACAGGATGTCTTTCTTTTATAAAAGAAGATTATCAAGCAATAGACTATTCCACATGTAATTAGTAATTTTATTTGGCACTGGTTTATGGACAAATGGTGGGCAAATGTGTACTTCCATGAGTAAGTAGATTTGATTGACATACAATTTCAATATTTTAACCTTCAGTCTGTATGTTCTCTATCTTTAATTCAAATCTTATTATCTTGTCCTAGTTTTTTTGCTTATAATTCAGTTTTAATCCATAATTACAAAATAAATGAAATAGACCTCATCAATTTAAATCCTCCACTTTTCTGTATAACTCAACTGAAAGTAGAATTTTATGAGGTTGTCATTTATGAGGTATTGTTTGTTATTGCCCCTATATTTCTCATTTATTTTCTAAAAATATATTTGGTTTCTACAGACTGTGAATTGAACAAAATATTCTAACTTTGCCAGCCCTTGAATGAAATGGTTATCTGTCATACCTGCCAAAAAGAAAGCAGTCAAACCTGGTTCTTTAGGATTTCTTTCAAGTGAATTTCATGAAAATTCACTTTTCCCATGAAGTACACATGCTCTGATTACTCTAAGTGGCAGTATAAATCTATATGTAAACTCTCTCCGCATTTTAAAATACGAATTTTCATTAAATATGGCATGCATTTGGGGCTAGAGTTGTGGTTCAGTGGTAGAGCGCTTGCCAAGCCTGTGTAAGGCACTGATTTGATCTTCAGCACCACGTAAAGAATAAATTTTAAAAAAAGGTATTGTGTTCACCTACAACTAAAAAAAAAAAAAAACATATGGCATGCATTTAGTGAGGAATGGTACCAATCTCAATATTTAGTGGCAGGTCTTAGGCACAGGTGACAACTTCTAAAAAACAGGGTTGAGTTCAGATGAGTGTCTGCTATACCATTATGACTTTTGAAAATTAATTTTTTTAGTTACAAATGGATACACTATTTTTATTTTACTTATTTATTTTTATGTGGTGCTGAGGATTTAACCCAGTACCCCACACATGCTAGGCAAGTACTCACTGCTGAGCTACAGCCCCAGCTCCCAAAGTCAAACTTTTAAAGCATAAGTGCAAGGGTTGTTGGGTATTTTTTGTTTTTGCTCTTAAGTGCAAAATCAACTTCTCTGAACCAAATGTCCTCAAGCTCAACAGTTGCAATTTCTAAGAATTAGTTGTCTCGAGCAGAGTGACTTGATGTGGCATGAGGGAAGTTTCTTGTGTACCTGCTAAGTGCAGAGCCTTTGTTGTCCCTACTGGAACCCAGAACTGAAGAGGTGATCAGAGGAGGTGGGAAGAAGGGGTGTGGGGAGGGTGGGGGGGGTGTTCTCGCAGATTATGGCATTCCTTCCAGAGTGCTCTGATTCTCCCAGATAGATGTCTTTCCCTGTAAGTGACTTCTAGGGGGCACTAGTGTTTTGTCACTTAACCTGTGTATTTTCAGAAAGCTGCAACTTTTTGCAGAAGTCACCATGCTGATTTGCCAAAACCCTGAGCCAGTTTGGGTGCTTGTAGCTCTGTGTAGGTGAGTCTGTGGGGTTGTAGGTGAGTCTGTGGGGTCACAGGTGCTGTGGAAAGCAGGACCCTGGTGAGCTGCGCTCCTGGCTGAGCACCTAATGGGAAAGGTCTCTCCAGAATTGGTGGTGCCCAGTGGTGTCAGTTTATTTGAATTCTACAGAGGCTGTTCCTGCAAATACCATGATCATTAGAAGTGTCCTGGTGGGGTTGAGGGAAAAGGATTGGGAGCAGCCAGTGCCAAGGAGACTTCAATCTCCCTTTGGGGGATGCTAAAGAGACTAAAAATGAAACCCACAGAACCCCACTGTGCCATGGACACCCTTCACTCAGATGCACTGCAGCTTTCAGGAGTAATGAGGGTTTTTGGGCAAAATCATCTTCCTGATTGTTAGGGACTTCCAGTAACTCTATCTGATGATGATAGAAGTTTTTTGGAAAGCAGTGAGGTGGAATAATATATGTCTGGCTAGAGTGAATAAAAGCCACTGTTTTTTTTAGATAAAGAACAGTAATTTACTTCAAAGGTATGTTTAAAAAAATTCATCCCTATAAGGAGTTCTCAAAAGAATTTTGATTATATGCTTTGAAGTTTGCCTAAAATTTTTTCAGAAAAATGATCTTTAAGCCTGGTGTGATAGTAAGTGCCTGTGGCCTAGCTATTGAAGAGACTGAGGCAGGAGGATCACTTAAGCCCAAGTGTTTGAGGCCAGCCTTGGCAACATAATGAGATTCTGTTTCAAAACAAACAAATAACAAAAACTTCAAGTCAAAATTTTCTCCAGTCCCACTTCTGCCTTTTTCTGAACTAATTCACCTCGTTTGTGATTTCTTCGTATATCATATTCCCAGATGCATTTTTTCAAATTAACTTGTTTGGAAGTGTGTCTTGGTTGGCACACCTGTTTCTAAGCAGCTAGGAAATGAGAAGGTCTAGATATGAAAGTTTATTCTTCTTGGGATATTTGCTTCTGTAACATGCAGACTTCCTCTTAACACTTCCCAATGGGAACATGGAATGCCTCATTTGAGTCATCTGTCATATCTGGCTAGGTGTCATATCTGGGTGACTGAAATGGTTTAGTTTTAAAATAATCAACTAGAGTGGTATTCTTTAAAAGAAAATAAAACAACAACAAACACCTGATGAAGAGGTGGAAGGAAAAATGTAGTTCCAATGCATACTTTTGCCTAAATAATATTGACTCAATATTATTGATTTACTAAAAAAATCCCCTATAGCACACCTTGTCTTCTTTATATGAAGATAATTGTAGCAATTTCATGTTGCTAGGTGTTGTCTTAATAATACCTTGCTGCAGTCAAAGGATGTACAAGATGAAATCTGAGATTAAAACGAAAATGTTCCTTATTCTTTTTGATGGTTGCCTAAAGCTGTGTGTTCCTTAAATTCTCAAATGAACTTTTGTAGGGATGAGGGGAAATGCGTAGAAGGAATTCTGGAGATCTTTGACATGCTCCTGGCAACAACTTCAAGGTTTCGTGAGTTGAAACTCCAGCACAAAGAGTATCTCTGTGTCAAGGCCATGATACTCCTCAACTCCAGTAAGTAACCCCCGCAGCTGGGCCGTGTTTGTGGAGAGAGATACTCTTTCTAGAACTGGCATGGCAAAAGAACAGTATTAAACTTGTGTTTGATTTTAAAAGGGGACAACAGCTTCCTTTGGGACTTCTCTGGTTTTTTTTTTTTTTTTTTTTTGGTAGGGATTTAAACTGTAGTTAACTTTTGGTAACTTGAGTATAAATTATTCACTGGGTGAACTCCTGGGAGTTGATTTAAAAAGTAGAGGAGCTCAGGCCATTTACTGAAAAAGAAAAAGAAATGAACTTTAAAGTGTTTCCCTGTAAGCCTTTTTGCAAGGCTCAGACAGACATTTTACAGGGCTGATGTGCATCTATAGTTAATGTTTTTGGCTTCTACTTTTACAGATTCATGCATTCATTTGTTCATTTAGTAAAGACACTTAGGAAATAGTCCTGCCCTTAAATAGCTCATAGTATAGGGAGGAAGGAAGTAAACTATGAAAACTCATAATCTCAGTGCTTTACTCGAGTGTGTGTGGAGTACAGCAGGAGAACAGGAGGAGAGATTCAGGAGAGGCTACCGAAGCAAAGACATCTGTGGAAGAGCAGAGGGGGTTGCCTAAGGCTGCAGACTGCAGCATTGAAGGTTATGAATGGTTTCCTTGGGCACTGAGCAGCCAGGAGGTTCAGAAGGGGAGAGTTGTGCATGGAAGGGTGTAATAGCAAGGTCACTCCCATTTCCAGGTGGAGGACTCCCTGGAGAGGGAGAGACTGAGGCAGGGGTATGTTAGAGACACTGGGAACTTGAACCAGTTTGGTATAGTGGGATCAGGTGAGGGACCAGGCTTCAGAGGTGGGACACAAGGAAGGTATCTAAGATGTGTGGTTTTAAAAAATTATATCAATAATACCTGGTTGTTGTGAACATTCAAACAAAAAGAAGAGTTTAAAAATTACTAGGAATACCCCTCTTGAAGACAACCGCCATAACTTTGGTGACCGTAGCTAATAGAGTGTTTGTGCTTCTTGTTCTCTCTCTTGCTCTCTTTCTCCAGTTGTCCTTGGGTATATATGGGGGTCTTAGTTCCAGGATCCCTTGTAGATATAAAAAAAATCTATGGATGGCTCAAGTTCTTTATACAAAATGATATACTATTTGCATATTCCCTATGTATATTCTCTCATATACTTTATTTTTAAATTACTTATCATATATAATATGCTATGTATACAATTTTTGTATTATATAATTTAGGGAATAATGACCAAAATAGTCTGTATGTGTTGAGTACAGATTTAGTCTTTGTTCCTGAATGTTTTTGATCCATAGCTAGTTGAATCTGTGGATTGGAACACTGGATACAGAGGGTCAGCTGTATATATTGATAGAATCATACACATATACATAAATGTATGGTATGTTATGTTCAAAATTATGGGTGCTTTGAAATAGACTTATTTCAGTCTTAATTTTGTTGTTTGGCCCTCAATGTTCCTATCCAAAATCAAGTAGCCAATCTTTCGAGACCAGGTCTTACTAAAGTTGCTAAGTGTCTTACTGAGTTTCTGAGACTGGCCTCAAACTTTTGATACTCCTGCCTCAGCCTCCCTAGTCACTGGGATTACAGGTGTGCATCACTGAGCCCAGCTCCAGGTAGTTGATCTTAACAGCCAAATGATAGACTTCCTACCTTCTTCCATCCTCTAGTGGTTAACATACTACCTTAACATACTACCTTACCACTAATATACACAGTCAGGCTTTTATTTTTTTCATTTTAAAAAACCATGGGCCGCTACACACAAATCTCTGTATCTTGCCTTTTTACTTTTCAAAGTGCTGTGAAATTCCTCCAGGTCAGCTTAGAGAGATCTCATTCAATCTTTGAAATCAGGACATTTCACAGGGCAGTTGTTCAGCCATTTCCCTATTGATGTGCCTTTACTTCATATCCAGTTCCTTTTTAAAAATCACTATAAACATTACCTTAGTAAATAAAGATATGTTATTTTGTACACATTTCTACGTTTCTAGGTTCTTGTCATACTGCTCAGCTTACTCTCTGTCTGGTGTTCATCCAGCCTCCTTATCAGGTATTGATCGTTTGCTTAGCCATTGTTTACTTATTGTTTATTTTGTAAGTACTGGGGATTGACCCCAGGGCCTCACACATGCTAGGCAAGCACTCTACCACTGAGCTACACCACGGCCCTTTTTATTCTTTAATCTAAGAGAGAATCTTGCTAAGTTTCCCAGGCTGGTCTCAAACTTGCAAACCTCCTGCCTCAGCCTCCCAAGTAGCTGTAATTATAGGCATACACCTTTGCCTAGCACTTAGCCATTTATTCTTTTTGGGCTTTTTAGGTTATTGATTTTTTTCTGACATGTTTTATATATAAAATTTTAAATATATTTATATAATTTGTATGATTTTATGTATTTGTAATTTATGTCTATGTTTATATTTTATGTATGTTATATATTTATGATTTTATAATATTTATACTTATAATTTTAGATTTACATTTATATAACTTGCATAAACCATATATATTCATACAATTATTCTGTTGCTTGCTATAAGGTTTCTAGAAGCTTATATTCAATGTCTGCTCATCTCTTTGTGGCCTGTTAACAGTCTTACTTTGAGTAGCTCTGGAGAGAGCACAGAATGCTGTCCAGGAGATGGTTGGGTCTGGGTGGAAGGTGGGTTAGGCCTCACAGGAGAGGGGCACAGAAGAATGAAGAAAGGATCCAAAGGTACAGAGACCCTAAAGACAACCCTTGAGTATGTACCAGTTGGGTCTCTGTGTGACCTCACCTTCCTAACAGGACACTACCCTACACCCAATACCCCTCCCATTTATTGTTGTCATTCATAAATTTTTCTAAAATAGTAGATGATTGGTGATTAATAATTCCTAATTGGGGCTGGGGCTGTAGCTCAGTGGCAGAGCACTTGCCTAGCACATGTGAGGCACTGGGTTCAATCCTCAGCACCACATTAAAAAAAAAAATTCCTAATTGATGGTTAAGTTAATGTGCATATGGGCAAATTTCCAACAGGACATATAAAATTGATAGGGAAGAAAATCAACTTTTTCTGCTCTTCTTTTCTATCCTGCCTATAGACGTTTACCTCACATGTTTGCTGCCATTTCTTTGTTAAAAGAGTGGATCTGCTTAAAAAGTATGTTCCCATCTCATCAATGGAAGGACATCAAATGCCAGATTATGGGGTTCCTCTTACTTTCAGAAATAATTCAGAACTCGTTTCTGTGTTGCAAAGTGCTCCTTGGAAAGCAGTTTGCTTGTTGTTACAACGCTTTACTGTAAAAAGCCTTCTCTTTGGCAAGGCTCCTTCTAGTCATTTGAGACTCTGAGACATCATATTGTGTTATTGTTAAAGCTAAAAGCAGCATCTGTGCAGATGGGGAACACGAAGGCAAGTGCGCTCCTCCTGCGAGATCTGACAAAACCACATGGTAAGAGAACCACAGAAGGCAAGTGAGGCAATTACCACTTGTGACAGTAAAATGACTAAAATTTGTTTATGGTAAATCCAAATGAAAAAAAATCTCCAGCAAGAAAGTTTCTTGCTTGGTAGTCATAACAGTTGTCAAATGAATTTATGTGGTTCAACATTGCTCAGAGGAGAATGGGATTCTGTTTCTATTGGAAATTTTCTACTGTTGAGAAAGGGGTGGGGTCCTTCTGTATGCCAGATTTTAAGGATTTGCAAGAACAGGCTTTTTTCTTCTGGATTATTTGTAGCATTTAAATTGGAAACAAAAGCAATGCCCCCCTCCCCGACCCACAAAAAAAGCAGGTGTGGAACATACTGCCCCAATATTAAATAAAAATCCAGGACAGAATATATAAACAGACATTAGACAAACAGACTATGCAGGACAGTGAGCCTTAAGAGAAGGGATATAACAAGGTGACACTGGTTGTCAGTCTACTGCCTGGAGCCAGTTTAGTTTCTAGGTTGCAATGCAAGGAAGTGTATTAGGTTTCTACAAAGAAACAGAATCAATAGGATGCATGGACAGATATTGATGTGATATGCAAGAGTAGATTTACCATGAAAATTGGCTCAAGGGATTATGAGAAGTGTCATGGTGTGCCATCTGCAAGCCAGAGACCAGGGAAGTTGGTAGCCTGGCTCTGTCCAAAGGCCTGAGAACCAACAGCAGTAGTGGTGTAACTCACAGTCCAATGCCAAAGGCCTGAGAAACTAGGAGACCACTGGGGCAAGGCCCAGAGTCCAAAGCCTGGATAACTTGGAGTTCTGATGTCCAAGAGCAGGAGAAAGTGGGTGTCCCAGATCTGGGAGGCAGGATAGGGAAGGGAGGGAAAAAGGGAAGTGAGGAGGAAGAAAGGGAGGAATTAATTTGCCTTTAGTTTGCCATTTTGCTCACTCTGGGCCCTCTGCCTGCCCACATTGGTAGGGGCAAATCTTCCTTACTTAGCCCCCTGATTCAAATGCCACTGTTATCTGGATGCACTCTCAGACATACTTAGAAATAATGCTTTACCAGCTGTTCAGTATTCTTTAATGCAGTTGATACCTGTAATGGTTAATTTGAATTGTCAACTTGATTGGATTAAGAGATGCCAATGATTAAAAGGTTTATGGGTGTGTGGATGAGGGTGTGTCCAGGAATGATTAGTATGTGGGATAGCCAACTGAAGTGGAGACCCTCCCTGAGCTTAGGCAGCACTGTCAATAGGATGATGGCTTGGATGGAATAAAAGTTGGAAGAACAAGGAAGCAGCAGCAGATGTAAGCTTGGTTCTTCTTGAACAGGTTCTTGATTGCTGCTGCGATCATCTGAGGATATCGAACTCTTGATTCTTTTCTTTTTCGAAGTGGACTCTGCCAGTGATTCTCCAGAAACCTTCGGTCTTGGAATGGGGTAGCACCATTGGTCCCTCTTGTTCTGGGGCTTCAGCCTGTTGGACTGCGCAGCTGCTGGTTCTTCCAGCTCTCTAGCCTGCACATGGCCATTGTAGA